CACAGAGCTGAGCGACTTCTCGACGGCCACACACCTGCTGTCGTCTGCCCGAAGGCTGGTGCTGCAGTCCCCGCCGACGCAACAGCAACAGGACCTGCTGGGCGGCCTGGACACAGAGCTGAGCGACTTCTCGACGGGCACACGCCTGCTGTCGTCAGCCCAGAGGCTGTCCTGCAGTCCCCGCCGACGCAGCAGCAGGACCAGGTGGGCGGCCTGGACCTGGAGCTGAGCGACATGCAGTGGCGGCGGCGACTTGAGCCAGTGGCCTCCGGGGAACTACCGTGATGCTTCACGCCGGCGTCGTCACCGTACGCCGCTGGCCGAGGTGCTCTGGTTTAAGTGTAGTAGTTAAGTCCTAATCATGATGCGAGCCAGGCTATCAAATACCGGATGAAAATTATTTTCAAGATGAAGAGACTCCGTATGCAGACACCCAAACAACATGCAAACGTGGTATTTTACTCTATTTCTTCAACCAATCTCCACTCAGCTTGACTCTTTTTTTAATAAAACCAGCGAAAATCGGCGCAATCAACCAAACACGTCCTTTGAAGATTTTAGGTAGTGTAGCAAAGCTCGTTAAAATTGCTCATTCTCCTGTTGTAAGACAGAAAAGAAACGAGACGCACTTACTTGTACACGTACGTGTATGTTTCGTACAAAGTGTTTTTAACAAAATTGCTACCGGATGCATGTGTTATTGTTATCTCGGGAACCGCAAGCTCCAGAGGTCCATGTTGCCGGCCACGTCGGAGCCGGCGAGGAGGCTCTCCATGACGTCGTCCGAGCAGCACTCCAGCAGTATGTGCGCGTCGGAAGGCGCAGTCCCGTGGACATCCTTGGACGAAGACGAGGCGCTCTCCGTTGCACGGGCCACGTTGTCCGCGCCGTCATCGGTGGTGCAAGAAGACGGTCCAGGACGATGGCTGCACGGCGCCGCCGGCGCTGCAGGGAAGTTTGTCCTGGCCTTTCTACCGTGGATGCGCCGCGCCTCGGCGTCGTAGGCGCGGGCGGCCTCCGCGGCCGTGTCGAAGGTGCCGATCCAGACGCGAGCGCCCTTGAAAGTGTCGCGGATTTCCGCCGACCACCTCCCCCACGCCCGCTGCCGGATGCCGCGGTACGGGTGGCTAGGGCTCGCCCTGCGCCGCCTCGGCCTCGCCATGGCCGGCGAGCTGTATAGCTCGCAGGATGCCATGGTACCTGTGGGGAGCGGCTCATTGCGGCCGTCGCCGTCGGCGGCGGCCATGAACTCCCGGAGGGCGGCCTCCCAGTCGTCAGAATCCTCATCCGTCGACCAGCTGCCGCGCATTTCCGCCTTCCCCGCCGACAGGGCTTGGCCGGGACGCCCCATGCCGCGGTCGTTGGCGGCGAACTTCCCTCTGCACATCGTGTACGGGGAATCAATGTTGTTTCAGGTAGTAGCTGTTCGTGTTGTCGAAGGAAGGCTGTGTGTTTCCTCGCGTAGCACGTTGGCCTTATATAGAGGTCAGGTGAAACGTAAAGCATCACTCATCGTAGTGGAGAGCATTTCTACTTCTGCACCTGGCCTGTATTGCATAGCATCTCCGAGAATCCTTCGACAGAACTTCATGTTGGATAACTGTCCGAGTAGGATGTGTTGCTTGGTTCGAAGTTTCTGGAACATTGTGCAGCAAGTGGATAAGGCTTGTCGAGCGCACACCAAGAGGCGCAGGCCAGTGACCAGCAAGTGGAGATAAGGCCAACTCCACCGCACGATCCCAAACGGACGTTTGGATTGGCCGGATTTTGTTTCTTTGGGGCGCCGATGGGTTCGCCCGTGTCTGGCTTTGTCAGATGGGTCGTGCGTGCGCGCACCGCGCGGCCGCACCCCAAATCGTGTTCAGGATGGACATGAATAAAAATAACTAAATAAATAAATAAACGCATTTTAAAAAACATAAAACATATATAGGGATCGGCCACAAAACGGCCCAGTTTCCACGGCCACTTAAAAGGCCCAGTTTCATAATTAACATATAAAACAAAATATAAAAACGCCTCCCGCGCGCTCTTGCCGCGCCCGTCGGTGCCGTGGCCGTCGCCATCTTCACTGGCCGCCGGTGTCGTCGTCGTCGCTAACGAGGTCGACATAGGCCGGCGGCGTCCAGAGGTGGGCCGGAGGTGCATGGTGGACGGGGGCGGGCTGGACGGCCGAAGGTGCCTGCACCACCTCCTCCCGTGGCGACGCCTCCCGCCCCGGTGACCGCGGCGGAGTGGGGCATCAATTCACGCCCACGCCGGCGGCCATCTCCGGAGCAGTGCAGGACCAGCCCCACCCCTGGCCCAACAGCTGCTGGAACGCGACCGGCGGGTCCTCCCTCCTCTCCTCCTCCACGGCCACCATCTGCAGCTCCGGGAAGGCGACGTCCCCGGTGGCAGAGAGGGCCATGGTCTCCTCCAGGCCGTCCCATTGCCGCTCGTCGTGTGTGTACATGAAGTCGTCCATGACACGCTGCAGGAGACCTGCCTCCTCCTCCGATGTCATGCGAGGAGGTGGAGGGGGCGACGGAGACGGCGATGGCGACGGCGTGGGCGTGACGCCGCGCACCCGCCTACGCCCGCGCTCCTGGGGAGCAGGCGCTGCGCGCTCCTGTCGTGGCCGCCGCGGCCCCGTCGAGGTGCCGGCGAAGAAGGACGCGCGCCTGGTGTCGTGCTCGTCACGAAACCAGGTGTCCCAGAGCCCGGAGTCGAGGGCGTACCTGGGGTCGTAGAAGAGGTCGTCGGGGAGGAGGCGGCGGCGGCGCTCGATCTCCTCGTCGCGCGCATGGCCCCTCGTCGGGACCGGTGGGATCGGGACCCGGTCGACGGAGAGATGCCAGTTATTGGGGAGATGGACGTCGCTCCAGGGGAGCGGCGTCCTCGTCTCCCAATAACGGCGGCACACCGACGCGCGGATGTAATGTCAGTCGCGCTCGTCGGCGAACGTGGGCGCGATGGAGAAAGCGGGCGGCGCGGGGGCCCGGCGTGGTGGCGATGGCGAGGCGGGCTCCTCTTTCTTCACTGAGCCGCGGCGGCGCCCCGACGAGGAACCAGCCTCGCGGTCGTGCTTGCCTTTGCGGCCGTAGTTCCAGAGGCACATGGCTGCGGGCAACCGGCCGGCAAGGTCTTGGCTAGGGTTTGGGAGCAGCCGCTGTTGGGTTTCGAGGAGGCCGCGGGGTGGCGTGGGGCAGTGTGGACGACGACTCGTCCACGCTTCCCACTTAAAGAAGGACGGCGACCGTTTGACGTACGGATGATAGGTGGGGCTGCTCGCTCGTGCGCATTGATGTGGGCGGGTGGGAGATAGATGGCCGCCTGCCACGCGGCTCCGATGTGGACGAGCGCGCGTCTGTTTGTTGTCCGTCGCGACCCAAACCCGACGCAAGTTTATGTTCGAAATGGGTCGGCCCGGACATAAAACATACAAGATGGGTCCGTGCCGTCACACGCTAAATTACCTCCTTTGTTTATTTTATTTCAAATAAACAGGATCGGACAGAATAGGGTCGCGCGGTGGAATTGGCCTAAATATTCGATTCAAACGAGGCCGGAGCCATTGAACCGGCGCTGGCAGCAGCGACGGAGATTTACGTTCAACTGGAACAACTGGTCGTACCATGCTTGCTAATTACTCCGTACGGACTGCTGCTTGCACCTCCCGTGTGGAATTCAATGATCGTTACTGTTACTGTTGAGTATGATATTCGTACATGTATATTGTCTTTTGTATATTATGTCCATCTCTCTAGCTTGTTGTATAGATTGAGGTAAAAGCCTCACCTTGTATTTATATATACCGTGCACATTGCACTGAATCAATATATCGTGCAATTCATACATCTACATGATATCAGTTTTTAGGTTTAGACTTTTAAACTAGCTTCCGATGCCGCCGCCGCCGCACTCCTCCGTGCCGCCGCTGCTTCCCATCCCGATCCTTAACCCGCCCCGCCGTTGCTTCCCATCGCGCGACCAGCGCACGCCCGCGCGAGTCACGCCGCCTGCCGCTAGCCGCTACGCGCGCTTGCCTGCACGCTGCTCGCCGCTACGCGCCAACCTTGTCTGCCAGCTGCCCGTCCCGTTTGATCGGACGCACGCCGCACGCCTCGTCTGCTCGCCTCGTTAGTACCCGCTCGCCTCGCAAAACGCTGTTGCCGCTGACCTGAGCCACCAAGTCGCCTCGTCATGTCGTCAGTCACTTCCTCCGGGTCCACCAACTCCAACCCGTTCGCCGACGCCAACCTTCCCGACGTCAACGACATCCGCAGACTCAACATCTTCGAGCGGGTGCCGATTCGTCTCTCCCAGACGAACTTCTACCACACATGGAAGACGTATTTCTCCCTCGTGTTTCGGGAGTATCATTTCATGGATCACGTGGACCGCACCGTCGACTCCAGTCTCGTCCCCGAGTTTCACGACTGGTCCACCATCGACACCACGATCATCCGCTGGTTTTTTCTCACCATCACGCCCGACCTCT